CTAAATAATTGAAAAGCATTCCATGTTAATGGAATCAGAAGATTTAACATTGTTGAGATGGCAATACTCCTCAAATTAATCTACAGAATCAATACATTCCCTATAAAAAGTCCAGTTTACTTCTTTATAGGAATTGACAAGCTGACAAGAAAATTTATATGGAACTTTTATGGGAACCAGAATAGCCAAATCAATCTTGAACAACAACAATAAAAAAAAAAATGTAGTAGGAATCACAACTGCTACTTTGAAAACTTACTACAAAGTAACATTAATCAAGATGTGTAATGCTGAAACAAGAATATATGCACATACATATGTGTGTGTGTGTGTGTGTATAGATATATAATTAAATAAACCTTTGTATCTATGGTCACCTTTTTTTGACAAGTGTGCCAAAACAATCCAATGGGGAAATAATAGTATTTTCCACAAATGGTGCTGAGACAACCATATATTCACATACAAAACAATGAAGATGAACCCTTAACTTACGTATCTATAAATATTAAATCAAATGGATCAAAGATCTAAATGTAAGGGCTAAAACTGTAAAACTCCTAGAAGACTTACCTTACACAAAAATAAATTCAAAATGGATCAAAGACATAAATGTAAGAGCTAAAACTGTAAAAGTCTTAAAAGAAAACATGGAGAAACTTGACGACATTGAACATGGCAATGATACATTGTATATAACACCAAAAGCACAGGCAACAAAAGAAAAATAGATACATTGGATAACATAAAAATTAAAAACTTCCATGCATATCAAAAATATACAAAGAACTTCTTAAACTGAACAATAAATAACTCAATTCAAAAATGGACAAAAAATTTAAACAGACATTTCCCTAATATCTTGTATTGGGGAAATACAAGAATGTTAAAGATATACAAATGGCCAATAAAAAAATGCTCAACATCACTAATCATTATGGAAATGCAAATCAAACTTACAATGAGATACCACTTTACACCCATTAGTATTAATATAAGCTACTATCAAAAAAATGCACACCTTGCCGGGCGCAGTGGCTCACGCCTGTAATCCTAGTACTCTGGGGGCCAAGGCGGGTGGATCGCTCAAGGTCAGGAGTTCGAGACTAGCCTGAGCAAGAGCGAGACCCCATCTCTACTAAAAAAT